CTGTAAGTTATGACACTTTGTGTTACATTAAAAGCAAAAAAGTAGCGATGGGCTGATGAGCATGTTGGAAAACAACATGTATCCACATTGCTCTTGAGAGAGTTCTGAGCTAGAGACACATGAAATGGGAGTTTGACTAAACGTTGTTCTAAGGGGTGTGCTAGACTTCCTTTCTGAAAAAGCTACTTGATGTTACTTCTGCTTTTGGTGCAGCGGCACTTTTCTGCGCTATAACGGTGATCTCAGGTACCGGTACAGTACCAGTAACAGTGATCTCAGGTACCAGTATCCAGATCCCAGGCCAGATGCAGTCGCACAGATCAGTACGTTGCGTTGCAGCCATTTTTCAAAGCCGCCTGAGGAGATCTTCTCCACTGGCTCTAGTGCTATATCCTTACAAATTGCTCTTTATATTGTCATTTTTATGCCAGTGTTCAGAGCTATGATAGTTCAGAATGTGTTTGCCAATAATTTTGGAAACAATATTACTGAACAGTAACACTGGGTGTTAGAAGATATGTTTTATTTCAGAAGCTAGTAATTGTCAGCAACCAAACATAAATTGAGTAGTTTCTCAGTAGCCTAGCAGATTCAAAATAAAAAAAAAAAAAAAAAAAAAAAAAAACAGGACAGTATCTACACTCAAGATCCCATTTCAAGGTTTAGATATTTTAATTTATACATATAAAAAATTACCTGCATAATATAGATGAATAGGCAATGGAGTACTAGGACTTACAGGCAGGGAGAGGAAAGATTAATGCATTAGGGAGATTTCTGCCTTCCCAACCCCCACAGCTTTAGAAGGATCGATATTAAGAGGTAGCACCTAGTTTTAGTGTCAGCATTTTTCGAGTTTGTAAATGGAAAAAGGGCATCACAATCACAAGAGAGGTGAAACCTGGAGGGAGTTTGAAAAGGAATCTGACTTCAGGCTCTTCTGGCATTTATTTGAAGAAAGAAAGAAAGAAAGAAAAAAAAGAAACCCAAACCAAGAAAACCCTCAAGCCCCAAGGGTTGATAGTGGTCTAGAAGCCTGTTCTCGAGAGAGAGAAAATATCCCATGCAAAGCTTTTTTTCAGTGTTTTCAGTTAAAGCGTGACAAGAACAGTGACCAGAAAAGAGAAATGCAAGCTGGCTGTACTGCGTCTCTTTAGCAATGCTGGTGATTACCAGGGTGTTGAGCTACAAAGTAGTAGTTTATCGAATTCCGATCAAGATAGCCTTATTGTATGTAGAAATCGGTCTGCCATGCAGTGATATAATTGCAACAGCGATGGATCTGAAAGATGAAATTGTGGATGGCAGAGTTATTGCTGTGACATTTGTGTGAAGAAGCACTGCAGGTCTCTGCACTTGACACAGAGGAAAATTAAGCTGGCATGAACGTTTGGCATTGGTGCCAGTGGTTGTCACTAGAGGGTGGACAGCAGTTTATTAGAAGCTATTACTTCTATATTTCCTGCATTAAAATAGTACTTATATAATGATTTAAGTTTTTTAAAAAAATTCTGGTTAGATGGTCAGAAGTGAAGTGGGTTTGCTCTTCTGGTCGGCTGGGATAGGGTCTTTTCAGCTGGATCTCTGAGCAGATCAGGCTTGCTCCCTGGCAGTGCAGTTGCCAGAACTGATACAGCGAAGCCCCCATGGCGCAATTTCTTGCAACCCCTTTGCTGTGCAGCTGGATCAGCTGCCTGCAAGGAGACAGCTCTGCTGCCCACCCTGCCCTTGTCTTGGTGCCTGGCTGGTCTCACAACATGCCAGATCACGGAGCTCACGTGGAAAACCAAACAGGAAACTTCTGCCAGCTTGGTTGGCTTGTGCATTTTCCCCCATCACTTGAGTTCCCTGCATCTTTCTCACTGTAGGGTCACAGAAGCTCTGACACGAGAAGGAAGGTATGGCGGAGAAGTGGGGTATGGACGAGCCCTTTCCGCAGCAGCCGGCCAAGTGCACCCTCAGTTTGGTGCCTGTTTCAGAGAGGTGTGAGCCAGCCCTGCTGCCGAGAGAAGCAAGCTTGGCTTTCTGTTCTGTTCCCAGCTTTCTGTTTCTCACTTTCCCTGTCCCTCTCTGTGCAGTCCTAGCGTGGGCTGAGCTGGGAGGGTGACCCCAGGCCTCAGAAATACCTGGTAGTTAATCTGGTCGCTCAGCTTGTCTGTTTGTTTCCACTCTAGCAGAGGTGAAGATAGGGAGAGAGGAAAACCCTCTCCACCTGGAGGAACTGAGGCTTGCGGTTGCTCATCTCCCAAGGCTCAGTTGGTGACCGGGTTGAGGATAAAGAAGGGAGAGCAAATCTCACCAGCTTTGGTTTTGGGCACCGTATCCTGTCAGTCGTGAATGGCTGAGGTGACCGGCTTCATATTCTCTGCCGCTCTATCGTTACCTACCACGCTCATGGTAGCACTAACGTTAGTACGAGGGCTTTCTTGAGGAGGTGCAAAGCTAACAAATGCAGAAATCCTGCTGTGCAGAGAGTCTTACAGTGAAGACCAGGTTTTAATTCTGGTGCTAACTTCTTGTGAAAAACAAAGCAATTTTGAAGTGTTAAACAGCTGCTGCTACAGAAATTGAAATTCTTGGGGAAACTTTCTGACAGCAAAGACTTTTTTTTTGTTTGTTTCCTTTTTCCCTGGATGTACAGTCTTTTCAGTGCTCGCTATAGCTTTCAAAAACAAGAATGTAAAGCCTGGAATATAATGCTGAAGATCTGAGTTCCAGATGCTGGCTGAAATGTAGCTGAATGGGAAAGTTTGGGACATTAAATATTTCTGAAGGAGAACAAATCCAAGAAACCCATCTCAGTTTATTTATCTTTCTCTCACTGTGCCTCCCTTCCCCATCCCCTCCCAAAAAAGAAAAAAACCCACAAGCAAATGGTACTTCCTAATTAGAATTACTAAATGCATACTACTAAACCAAGGGAATCAAGATTAAATTAGTTTCTTATTTTCCCATTCTTATTCCTATTAGTTTGCCATATGGTGTGAAATCAAAGTCAGAGAAATCCCTTTATCACCAGTAAAATGTAGACAAACTACTGCCATGCTTAGGGTTCTTTATGTTTTTAGCTTTTAGCTGAGAGACAACCTGGATAGTTCCAAGGAGAGGATGCTTTGAGGGGAGGACTGTAGGAGGATAGTTTGTGAGCTG